GCCATTAATTATAAATTACTCTTTTACGAAAGATGCTTTTAAAGTTCTGGAAGCATTTTGGTAGGGTGGCTACTAGCAAGGTCAAAGGTATATTTCACCCTGAGTTGAAAGTTAAACTTCAAAATTATCAAATTTCCTTATTTTTTTTGGAACTGCCCATTATTTATATTTTATTGAAATCAGCGGTAAACAATAAGAGAAGTTCATGTTCATTTCGCTATACTATATGTGGCGGTAAAATGTCAAACAAAATGGAAGTGGTAAAAAACTCTCTTATTATTTATTTCTTTATTCTCTTTCTATTTATTTATTTATTTATTGGTTTTCTCAGATTTTGGGATAGATACAATTTACATCCCTCCTTTAGGAATTTAGTAGATAATGATAAATTAATAGTCCACTTTAAATTTGATTTTAACTAAAAACTTATTTCCAGATATTTCTAGAACAGATTTAAAAAAATATTTTGTTTAATTCATCATAACGACAATGCAACAGAAATCCAGGAAACCATTAGACCAGCGATTACTTATAAAGCAATTGGGCCTACTCATGTACTTGCCTAATCTGTTTAGGTAAACATTGTATAAACGATACAATTGAATGAAAAATCAACATATCTACTATAAAGACACACAATAATATGACTATAATTTTTATTTAAGTTTTCACTTTGATAGGTACCAATATCAGATTTATTAATAAATCAAATAAAATTGGGCTAGTGCATGGCCCGGTAAAACGGGCAATAATCCCCGAATTTTACGACTTTTTAGCGAATGTTGGATCTTCAGGTACCTATTATAAGTTAGTATGGTGCCAGAATATTACCAATTTTAAATAAACCAATTTAATAATTATTTCTATTTGAAAATACAGTTTTTTAGAGTCTTCATGATGAGCTGATTTTCAATGATATGTCACACTTGCTATTTATCATTGATATTATACAGGGTGTAAACGATATGATACTCAGTAGTCACAAAATAAATCTTTATTTGTAAAAATAATAAAATAGCAACGCTGTCGTTTGCTTGTATGAAGTTGATCTTGAATTTGAAACATATAATTGTGATTTGATTTTAACGTAATATCTCCAGAATTATTTATTGTTAAATATTTGATTAAATTGTTTTTTACAGCTTCCTCAACCGTGTGTTCTCGGGCGGAATAAGGACACTTTACCTCAATAAGTGCATTATCTCCTATTAGCCCGTCCGGGGAAGCTGCCAAAAACTTATTTTCCTTATCAACAAACAATCCGCATTTCATTACATTTTTACTATACATATAAGGATTCAAATTTGTCTATCGCTTTTGATTCGTTTCCGATAAACTGAAGCAAATTATTAGATTTTTTCCGAGGTAAATATGCCGAAAGTTGACACTAACTTTTTAATTTAATATGAAATATCATATATATTTTTACATTTTTAGTATCTCCATTATGAGCTGATTTCAATGATGTGTTACACTTGCTATTTATCGTCGATATTAAAGGATCTACAGCCATTTGAAATTATGTTTTTTGACTTTAGGCTGCCCGCGAGTGGCCGTAACTCCTTTATTATCAATAATAAGTTTTAAGTATGACCTATCGTTGGAATCGGCTCGTCTTTATGATTTTAAAAATGTAAACCATATACGAATTATTTCATTTAAAATAATTTGTCGTCATCGGCATTTCTAAATATTCGAAAATGGGCATATCCGAACTCTGCCACAAAATAAAATGTTACCTGAATTGTATCAATTTGGGGATTACAGAATGGCTCGAACTCTGCCGCGACCATTAAGTTTAATCCGATTAGGGTCATTAGGGTTTATTAAAATATTACCTAAATAAAATTTAAAATTTCAACCCAAAGAAGTCGTAGTGGATTTTAAACTAAGCATTCATAACGCTATATATGAATGTTTTGGTACATATCAAATTATTTTTGGTTGTAAATTTCATCTCTGTCAAGCTTGGTTGCGAAAGATTCTGGAGTTTCATTGGGTACAAGAGTACATACAGAAAGATTGAGTAATTGGTGACTACTTAAAAGTACATTTTGGAATGATGTATCTTAGACCTGAGGAAGTTGTTGAATTTTTTAATAACGAACTACATTTTTTGCTTCCAAACGATGAGAGTTATATAATTTCGCAATTATGTCAATAAAACGTATAAAAACAAAATTCGATATTTCCACCACATATTTGGGCAAACAATGCAGTCTTTTTTAAGAGGACAACTAATTCTTGTGATAATATTCTTGTAAAAATATAAGAAAAATACTATTTCCCGCTTTATATTTGTGAAAACGGTGACATGTAAAAATCTTCCTCAGATGTAATTTTATTTTATTTTTATGTGTATACATTTAAACGTATATATTTTATTAAAATGTACAAGTATTTTTTGTGACAAATATACGTTGAAAATATATTATGAAATTGTTAAATCGGATTAAACAATTAGACCCCTACGGGTTTAGTACTTAATCCCTAAAATTTTAAAACCTGGCAGAGTTCGAACAACCCATAATGACTACCTGCATTTTGTGGCAGAGTTCGGATACTCCGTCGAAAATATATTTTCCTACAATATCGAAATTCGGATATTCTAAAATTCAAATTCTAATAAAATAACCAACCCAACCGCTTATCTCAGTTTTACGACATACCCCGCTGTGAGCTTACTACCTGAAAATTTGCCGAAATAAAGTGACAGGTCTTGCTGTACAAGTTGCCTATTCCCAAAAAAATATTTGGTGAGTACTGAACTCTAGCCCATAGAGAAAGAAAGATGAGAGAGTTCGATCTCTTACTAAAAATTGGCAACGCGTAGATGGTGCTGTTCCTAGTGGCTGGTCCCACGAACTAATGAAATATCGAGTAGATTTCTTCTATATTTCAAAATTAAAAATGGGTTATATAATCAATTTTATTTTTATAATATTGCTATATTGCAAATTAGAAAATAAAAACAACTTTTGTTAATATGAAATGTATTTATTTAAAGATATAAAAAATTTAATACATACATATAACCTAAATAGACAATACAATACATACAATTCAACATTTGAACATCATTCGACAAAATTAATAACATTTGACACTAATAACAAAAATATAAATAGAATACGTATATAATACATGTGGAATAGAAAATATAATAGAATAAATAGAAACGTAAAACAAATACAACCTTGTTACTTCGAAATCAGATGAGTCAGATCCCTCAGTTCCCAGGGCCTACAGCGTCCAATTCTTGTAGAGCTAACTAAAACAGAAAAAAATATGAGCAGCATCTAATTTAGGAAAATAACAAAAACAGTGAGATGTTTTAGAAAAACATAGAAATCAAATAATATAAGTAGATAGCTATGTAGAAAAATGATCTTCACAGAGTCTCATTTGTTTGGATGAATGAGACAAACCTATAAATAATATCCTATAATATCAAACCATTTTTTTTTTCACTCAAATTTGAAGGGAATTTTAAAAAAACGCTTTTGAAGATTATCTTCGGGGGGACAAATTTACAAATTTTTGCATCTTGGTGGATGCACATTTACGAACCTTCCTTCGAATTGGTGTTGACATTTTAAATTTGCAAACAAATATAAATATAAAAAATAAAAATACTCACAATTTAGGTTAAGCACTAAAATGGCGTCTACATCACTAACGAAACTCACTTAATTAAAACAACGGACGGGCGACGACCGACGACCCGCGATCGCGATCGTTTCCATACGGATCTCATATAAAATTAGCCAATCAAAACAATCGAAATTCATTTAATTTTTCGATAGCAGCGCCTCTAACGGCTGGTCTTCGTTCTAAGGCATGTTGTTGACTCTGTCCTATGCATTAAACAGTCTCTTTTATTTTGTCTATGCTCTAGCCTTAAATTATTCTAATTTTGTATCAAAAACGTTATGTCAAGTAGCTCAACCAAGGTATCAAATAGCACTAACAAAATGTGTTCAGCTGGCAACGTTGGTATGGGGCGTGCTAGCTAGACTTCTTATTGTATCAACGTGTCAATGTCAATTTACTAATTTAGTGTGTGTGTGTGTTTACTATTCGGTTCGGCAAAATTTTAACATATTTAAATACTAAATTAATTTTTATGTATATTCTAGTCGTTTCAACAGGTTGAGTTGAATTACAATTTTACGCTGCAATGATTCGTAATAATAGTTCTAGTCATTCCAATGGATTATTACAAAATATTTCTCAAGAAAAGTTAAAATCCATTCAGATCATCATTACAGATATCGGACCTAAGAAGTACGAATCTTTATTGCCGAAACAGAAACTTGAAACTACAAATAGAAGTGACCAAGAAATAGTAGAGAGAGTCAATAGAAACCAGGGTAAGTCATGGAAATATTTAGTTTTAGACTAACAAAAATCTGATATCACAATTTATTTATAGAAAACTCTACGATTTCTTCGTCAAGAACAAGAAGTTTAAAATCTGAAAGTAAAATTAAAAGAATAGTGACAGTTGAAAACAATGCAGGAGAATTATCAAGTTTATCAGTCTATATTTACCAGATAATGGAGATCTAAGCTTGGGTGCTTACTACATTGATCCCTACTCAGATTTAAGGAATGAGTATCAAGGTAAAATGTTCCCTAACTACGGAACGAAGCTTCAGCGAGTTTTAGGAAAAAAAAAGTTCCAAGAATATAATTCATCAGTTTTAAATTTATATAATAAATAAATATAATTCGAGTATGTTTTCATAATTTTTGGAGACCATGTTTCTTAAAAGTAAATATTTCAAAAACGAATTGACGGATATTGTTATTTTCTTTTATTTTCACAAAAAATGAAAAAATTCACCCTACTCTATTTTTTAGTGTTGGGGTTGCAGAACAAAGGCGTAATATGATGTTGTTTTAGACGTCAAAAGATGTACCCTCTATATTAAAATCGATGTTTTATCGGCTTTCCAAAAATCAAATTTTTCATCCCGAAATCGCATGTTTTCTTTTCAATGGGCCAACCTGTATGGGTTACTAGAAAAATAGCCATCGCATCGGAAAATATCGGCCATCGTACGTAAGTACGATACTAATACTACTATTTTAGATACTAATCAATGGTTTCGTTATTTCACATAGCTTTTTTGCTTTTTTTTAGGATACAATTCGAATAACATCATGTTGTAGAACACGATTTTCATAATATTTTCATAATATCATATCATAATACTCTTAAATAAACTGAGTCGTGAAATATGTATAATTTTTTTGCAGAAAAATTAAGGGATATTCAATTTTTTTTGTAATAAAGGCATGAGTTAAATAAAACGAATTACTTGATTTCAAATTAATTTTATTTAATGCACGTGTGCTGAGCGCTCGAGAAGTTCTGCCTCTGTAAAAAAACAAAAAAAAAAGGGTGGTTAGTTCCATTTCAAAAAATTAGGTTAACTTTGTACAATTTTTATACACATCCTCTATGCAATTAAGAGTTTTTTTACCAAAAACTCAAATAGTTTGACTTTACTAGTAGCCACCCATCAGAACCATTTACAAATAAGTGAGCAAACTTAAAAAGCAAGAATTTTTGGAAAAAGTATTTTAAACAAAAGTACCCTAAAATTTTACGTAGTTTTCAAAAATAGATCCAGGCATACTGGCCATAGCCAGCATCACAGAGAAAGAAAGATGAGAGAGTTCGATCCTTTACTAAAAATTGGCATAACGTTGACGGTGCTGCCTCTCATCGGATAGCAACATTTTTCGCGAACTAAGCGTAGATTCCTTCAACAAAAATTGGCGGAAAATTTAAAATTAATTTTTGTAATTCTACTCTATTTTCTTACATTTTGACAATTGTGTAGTCATTTAATAGCCGTTTCTCAAGCATGAAAAACGGCTATCAAATGCATACACAATTAACAAATTGAAATATTTAAAATACAATTAAAAAATAATATTAAAAGTGTTTCATGTAAAATTTTATTAAAAATTATGCACAATACAATACACTAAATTTAAATAAAATTGTTTTAGTAAAATTGTGGCTATTAAAAAATCTAATTGTACAACAAGACAGTTGGTCGGATCTTCAGCTTCTTATATTGCATGTAATCTAAAACAAATAAAAATATCAGCAGCATCGAATTCAGGGAAAATAGCGAAGAGTGAGAAATGTGTTTCGGGTGCTAAAGGAAAAGCAAATTTATTTAGACGTGATTTCAAAGTGCTAGTGAAACTATTATCATGAAAATGTACTTCACAAAGTCTCAGCTGTTTGGATGTATGGGACAAACCTAAAATATCGAACCACCTTTTTTTCCGCACAATATCGGAAGGAAATTTAAAAAAATGCTTTTGAAGATTTTTATCCGAAGAAGTAAAAAAACAAGCTATTGCACCTTTGTGATGCATATTTATGAACCTTTCTTCGCATTGGGGTAGACATTTTAAATAAGCAAACACAATTAGAAATAAAAATATAAAAACTCACCAACTTAGGTTATACACAATAATGGCGTCTACACTAGTTACGAGTCACGAAACATTCTAAAAAATACAACTCGACTCGACTGTTGACAAGAACCGCACAGAACGGTAAGTTCCAATCCGTCCAATCTTTATGACCAATAAAAAATTTTTAAATATGTTTAATTTTTCGATAGCAGCGCCTCTCGAAGGATAGTAGGGAATTATCACACGTGGTCTGATATTTCCTATGCTTTAAGAGGGGCGTTGAGATTTGGTAACCCAATTTCAGTTGGCAGCAATGAAAATAAGCCCGATTTTTCGGTGTACAAATCTCAAGTTTTACTTAATTTTGAGATATAATATGAATCGCATCTGATAGAGTGAACCTTCCTGTAGGTCATAAAGGTTTTTTTTACAGATCTATGCAAAAATAACGAAATTACAAGCGTTTGAAGGTAGACATTTTTCAGTTTTTTTTTCTATCGGACGATAACCAAAATCCTTTATGACCTAGTGATGGGTAATAGAAATGTATTGTGAAAATTTGGAAACGATATTCTTTATATTTTTTGAGATTTGTACACCGAAAAGTCTGGATTTTGGAAAAAACTTCATCGATTTGCCGCTAGGGGATACCGAAAATGATATTTTGGTAATGTGGGTTGCATACGCTCAACGAGATATGAGCTTTAGAAGATAAAATAAGGGTTATTTATGAATATACGATATATGTGCACTTCACAAAGCACACTGTTTTTATTATAATAAACAAATTTAGGAGAATTGAGGAAATTCAAGTGAAAATTTATTGTAAGTGTCATTGCTGCCAACAAAATAGAGTATTTGACGTATTAGACATGACATAAGACATAAGACAAGATGTCAAGTTGATTTTTAGGAGGTTATGTTTACGTTTCCATATTTACATTTGCTATATTTTACTTTATCGAGTTATTACTTTGTAGTTGCAATTGAAATTGCAATATACAAACAATAATTAATTATGACGATACGTTATTATATTTGGATATCATGCATTTATTAATTATTTTCTAAAACAGTATTCGAAGATTGATTGAAGACTAGAATGAAATAAAAATTTATCACAGCGTGCACTATTAGGTATATTTTTCATATTCATCATTGCCATACAAATTTAGTATTGTATTTTTTCTTTTCTAACTTTACACTTATCAGTTATTAGATATGATATGACTTACGTTCAATTCAACGGAAAAGGATTCAAACATTTCATTTGTGTAAATATGTTTATTTTAATACTACTAATAATTTTGATATACAAGTTGATATACAAGTTTCATCGGTCCACTTTTCTTCTCTTCTTCTATCTTCGGAATATAATGTTTTATCGGGTATCTCATAGGGCAGGTTGATGATCAAATCTATACTTGAAAATGGTCCTGCACAGATCCCCACCCAAGTCCTACGACCCCAGAGTGGCTGTACTCGAACTATTTCACTTCATTTCACTTCATTCATCAGAGCCATTGTCATTATCGGAGTGTGTGTTCGGAGTACTTATTGTTGTATCGGGCATCCCATAGGGCAGGTTGTTGATTAAATCTATGCTTGAAAACAGTCCTGCACAGGTCCCCACCCAAGTTCTACGACCCAGAGTGACTGTACTAGAACTATTTCATTTAGGCCCAGTTGCTCGTATGCGGATCAAAGTCGTATCAACTGATCTTGAATCAAAGTCGGATCAATAGTTTGTCCTGGAAAAGGGCGGCCATATTTGATTCCGATTTAATCTCGGCTTAATCCCGGATCATAATTGATACGCGTACGAGCAACCGGGCCTTACAATTTCATCGGAGGCATTGTCATTATCGGAGTGTGTGTTCGGAGTACTTATTGTATCGGGCATTTATCAATATATTCGATCGTAGAATCGCATCTCCCATTTTGTCGCCTGCACGAACTTTTACAATATTACATAGGTATACAATACAATACAGGGTGTTCCAATAAAAAGTATTCCCTCCCTTTAATTAGCTTATAGTTTTTAAACGCCTAATTATAAAAACATGCGGTTTTCTCAAATATGTTTTATTTTATTATAAGTTTTGTTACAGTGATACAGAAATTATGCATTAACAATACATGGTGTTTTATCAAAACCTCCTCTTTTAAATTCACAATAACCAAACTAATTTAAATGGAACATCCCGTATATACAGAGGTATTTTAAAAGATACACTCTTCTACATTTCAAAAATATATTATTTGTATATATTATTTGTAGATATTATTCTACCAGAGAAGACGTCCTATTTCATAAAATTTAGTTATTGCGAATTTAAAAGAGGATTTTTTTTATGAAATATCCTGTGCAGGCGATACAAAATTTTTGTCTCACTGCAACAAACAGTTATAGAAAAATAAAATATATTTGTCAAAACCGCATGTTTTATCATCATTAGGCGTTTAAAAAATATTAGCTCACTAAAGGGGCTACTTTTCATTGGGACACCCTGTATTTTAATGAACACTATATCATTATAATTACATGATTTTTAGTGATAAAAAATGTTTAGTGATTTTTACCTAATAACATTGTAATATAGGTACCACTCGACAAAGACTGGTCTTTCTAGCAATGATTGTACGTCTATTATTAATGTATCTTTGTAATTAATTATAAAAATTAATAAATAAAATGTTTCTAATTTACATAATTTATAGTTTACAAAGTTTGCAATAAGGAATTGAAATATAATTAACTAATAAATTATATAATATTTATATAGTCATTGATATTTGAAATAAAATTTGCAAATTCTAAAAGCAAAAATGCATCTTCGCCGCTACAAAAATAGAGAGAATATTCTCTAGAGTGTTAGGGGTCGAAAACCATTAGACGGACAATCATAAACGGCTACCTGCTTATGCAAATTTACTTTATTTACAATGCGACAACAATACATTTACTTTGAAAATAGTCTCTTAGATCCACTGCACTTGCGCCACCTGTTAGTACATTTTCTGAAATATCTCTGGTTAAAAACCTGGCTAAAAATTTAATTTTGAGACAGCTAACGCCATCTGGTTCAATTAATGAAACTACGAAAAATTACTAGATTCTAGGGGCGATTGGTACGACTGTTGAAGTGCTCAACGCCCCTCTTAAACAGTCTCTTTTATTTTGTCTATGGCCAGCATAGCATACTGGCATATGGGTTATTCATGAATATACGATATTTGTGCACTTCACAAAGCAGAAATCAAAGCAGTAATCAGAATGAAATCAAAATTTACCGCAGCGTGCACTATTAGGTATAATTTTCATATTCATCTTTGGCATATCAATTTAGTATTGTATTTTTTCTTTTCCAACTTTACACTTATCAATTATCAGATATGATATGACTTACGTTCAATTCAAGATAGTATCTGTAGATAGTATCTGTAAGGAAAAGAATTCAAACATTTCGTTTGTATAAATATGTTCTCAGTTGAAAAAACAGTTGATATACAAGATACAAGTTTCATCGGTACCCTTTTCTTCTTCTCTTCTTCTATCTTCGAAATATAATGTTTATCGGGCATCTCAAGGGCAGGTTGTTGATTAAATCTATACCTGAAAATAGTCCTGCACAGGTCCCCACCCAAGTCCTACGACCACTGAGTGGCTGTACTAGAAATATTTCACTTAGGCCCGTTTGGTCGTATGCGGATCAAAGTCGTATCAACTGATCTCGAATCAAAG